GCTTTTTAAACCTAAGTCTGCCTCCCCTCAGGGTAAAGAGATCTTTGGGGTGTTTGCCCCTTTTTGATTGTTGGATAATAAAAGACTCCTAATTTGAGCCAAAACTTCATGTCATTTCTTTCAGAGTATGACATTTTCCTCACAGAATCATAAAACAAAATGAGAATCCATTTGTGAAATGCAAAGCTAACATAGTTGCTGCTGACAAGAACTGCTGTCTCTATCAGCTGAAGACATGAGGCCACACAGACACAGAGCAGAGCCAAAGGACGAACACTGGCTGTCTTCAGCCATCAGGCCAAGGCAGAGGACCCTGCTCTGAAAACCTAGCCTGAGGGCGCAGAGGTGGGTCCCAGCATGGCCTGACCCCCATACCATGGCCTTCAGCATCACGCACCATCATTACAGGCTTCCCACCATGCCCAAGAGAAAAGTCAGCTGGGCTGAAGGGATGCTGAAGTGTCCTGGTTTGTTCTCCATTGCTGTGACAAAACACTCTGACCAATACCAACTTGGGGAGGAAAGGGTTTATTTGCCTTACATCTCCTGGGTCACAGTTCATCAGGGAGCTCAAGGTAGAACTTGGGCAGGAACTTGGAGGCAGGAGCTGGCGCAAAGGCCATGGAGGAACACTATTTATTGGCTTGCTTCCCTGACCCATGCTTAGCCTGCTTTCTTATACAGCATAGGCCCACCTACCCAGGGGTTACAACCCACAGTGGGCTGGGCTCTCCCACATCACTCAATAATCAAGAAGATGCCTTGCAGACATGGTCACAGGCTAGTCCAATGGAGGCTATTCCCCAGTTGAGGGTCTCTCAACCCCAGTATGTCAAGTTGACATTAAAGCTATCCAGCACATGAAGGAAGAGGCCAAGCGCAGACTGCCAGGTTGTCAGCAACCTATTCCTGGTAAAGTTTTTGAAGCCAAAAAAGGCGGTGGGAAAACAGACCTTCAGACAAAAACATGCTAACAGAAAGGAAGAAGGGAGCAGGAGGGAAAAATCAGGCTGAAGTGGTTATTCTTGAAACTAAAGATATACTTGAAGAAAACAGCCTGAAATGGAGGAGAGCTCAGCTTCTAATGAAGAAAAGAAGTCAAGTCTCATTGATCCTGCATCATGTCTATTGTTAGGGAAAGAGGGTTAGGGAAAGAGGAATTTACTGCTTGTTTGAATTTACTGCTTGTAACTGATTAACTCAACTGGAGACACGGCATCCGGAGATAGGGGCAAGTGCTGCAGCCCCCGGAGCCTGACCTGTCTGATCTGTGTTCCCCGATCCCCGATTGAGACACCTGAAGGGAGTTGTAACATTTTTCTTGTTTTGAACTTATTGGTTTGTGAAATGCTTGCTTTGAAACTATTGGTTGTATAAACGCGGGCTTTTGTGTAACGGTTGTGGGAGCCTATATAATCTTTACCTGAAGTTGCCTCGGGGCCGATTGCTCCAACCAGGCCTGTGTGTCTTGGAAGGATGGTCGACCCATTGAGACACCTGAAGGGAGTTGTAACATTTTTCTTGTTTTGAACTTATTGGTTTGTGAAATGCTTGCTTTGAAACTATTGGTTGTATAAACGCGGGCTTTTGTGTAACGGTTGTGGGAGCCTATATAATCTTTACCTGAAGTTGCCTCGGGGCCGATTGCTCCAACCAGGCCTGTGTGTCTTGGAAGGATGGTCGACCCCAGCTAGATGGTTTAATAAAACTCTGCTTGATTTTTGCATCTCCATGCTCGTGCATTTGTTCCCTTGAAGAGACCCACCGAGTCACGGACCCTAACATCTATTAGTGCATCTCTCCAGCCTCCCAATCTTTTTAAAAGACAGGACCTCACTGTTTAGCCCTTGCTGGCCTGGAACTCTCTATATAGAACAGGCTGGCTCCAGATTCATGGAGATATAAATCTGCTTCTGCCTCTCAAGTGCTAAGTTTAAAGGTGTGTGCCACCACACCTGTGCTTTTTGTATAAAAGAGTTATCAAAGTATAAAAAAAATGGGAGGATATACAGTAAAAACTGTTATTTGAATCTTAGTATTTAACACTGTACTGAATGTATTAGAATAGGGAATTAAGAATTGTATTGAATGTAATAGAATTAAGAAACTAAGAATCAAAAAAGAACTCTAGCAAAAGTATGTAAACATATCCAAAGTGTGTACATTAAAGATAAGAGCATCACTTAGTAGCCCTAGAATGTAACCTAGCAACCTTAGTGTAACTGTGTGATTAGCCAAATGACGTAAGAAACTGATAAACATATGTTCGCCAAGTCATGCATAAGGACTATAAAAACCCAGAGGAAAATCAGTTCGTGGGTGCACATATGAGCTGAACTCCCATCAGCTGTGCGACCCCATCTTCTGACTGATCCCGTCTCTGGACCGTGAGAGAAAAGAGGAACTTCACGTCGCGAACATCCGGACCTGACTTGACCCTCGATCACGAGACAACCAAGCTGAGCTGAGACTACTGTCACCACATCTGACTGAGACGATGTCACTCGGGCATTGGCCCTAGGACTGGTACTCTTATCTGTCATTGTGTTATGTGTGAAATTTGTTTATGATTCCCCAAATAAATGCATTGAAAGACATTGGCTCTAGAAATATTTATCCTCCCTTGCATAACGAGGTGATGCTCAACTAAGCCTTAATAACTCCACTCGCGACAAACACCCACTGCCCTTTTTGGAAGACAGGGTCTTACTGTGTAGCACAAGCTGGTCAGAGATTTTTTTATGGAGCTCAGACTAGCCTTGAACTCAAAATACTGCATCAACCTTCTGAGTGCTAGGATTCTAGGCAAGTACTATCAGGCTCAGGCTCTTTCCTTCTCACTTATAGTACCAGAGCCCCCAGTTTTCAGTTTGGTAACAAATGAGATTGAAGTAGTAATAAAGCCTTCCAACAAAGAAAGTCCAAGCCCCACAAATTTCACTGCCAAATTCTACGAAATCTTTAAAGGTCTTTAAATGGTTCCATAAAATAGAAACGGAGGAATACTACTAAACTCATTCTACAAAGCCAACATTGCCCTGATGCCAAAAGCAGATAAGGACACAACAAAGAAAACTATAGATCAAGCCGTGTGTGGTGGCGCAGGTAGGCGATCTCTGTAAATTCCAGGCCAGCCTGGTCTCCAAAGTGATTCCAAGGCAGCTGTGGCTAGAGGGAGACCCTGTTTTGAAAAGACAAAAAACAAAACAAAACAAAACAAAAATCAAAACAAAACAGAACAACCCAAACCAAAAAACTACAGATCAACTGTCTGGATGAACTTAGTTGTAAAGGGTTTCAATGAAATTCCACAAACTTAATTCAAGAAGACATTACAAGTACAGTACACCAAGACCAAGTTGTTTTAACACATGCAAATCAATAGGTATGATTTAGCATGTGAATAGACTTAAGGTCAGAAACCACAAGATCATTTCATTCTATGCAAAAAAGGCCTTTAACAGAGTTCAACATCTCTGCATGACTAAAACTTTTAAGAAACTAAAGAATAGAAGATGGGTGTGGTGGTGCATGCCTTAATCACAACACCTGAGAGACAGAGGCAGGTGATTTCTGTAAGATCGGGGCCAGTTGGGCTACAGAGAGACCCTGTCTCAAAAAGACCCCCCTCAAAAAATATTAAAGAAATAAAATTAATGCTATATATAATCACAAATATATAGACAATACCATTCTATTGGGACAAAAATAACACAATTTCCTCTAAGTCTGACCCATTCACTTCTGGGCCTGAGGCACCCAGGTCAGCCAAACCACTGTTTATCCCATGAGCTCCTGATCTCTGTGGAATCATTCTCCACCTGGACTTAGATGACACCTTCAAGAAGAGCAAGCCTAGGGCTGGAAAGATGGCTCAGAAGTTAAAAGTTCTTGTTTCAGGGCTGGAAAAATGGCTCAGTGGTTAAGAGCACTAGCTGTTCTTGTAGAGGACCCAGGTTCGATTCCCAGCACCCACATGGCAGCTAACAACAGTCCATAACTCCAGTTCCAGGGAATCCAACACCCTCTTCTGACTCCATGGGCACTGCATGACACGGGAGTACTTACATACATGAAGGTAATACACATATACATTAAAAGAAAAAAGGGTGCTTGTTTCAAAACAAAACAAAAATCATTTAACAAATCATAAAGACTGTGTTAGGGAAAGAGGAATTTACTGCTTGTCTGAATTTACTGCTTGTAACCAATTAACTCAACTGGAAACACGGCATCCGGAGATAGGGGCAAGTGCTACAGCCCCCGGAGCCTGACCTGTCTGATCTGTGTCGTGTCTGTAGGCATGTCTGCTTACACAAGATAACAAGGAAGGGCTGTGCTAGGCACATGCCACTCATCCCTCCCCGATTGGGACACCTGAAGGGAGTTGTAACATTTTTCTTGAAGTTATTGGTTTGTGAAATGCTTGCTTTGAAACTATTGGTTGTATAAATGCGGGCTTTTGGGTAACGGTTGTGGGAGCCTATATAATCTTTACCTGAAATTGCCTCAGGGTCAATTGCTCTAACCATACCTGTGTGTCTTAGAAGGACGGTCGGCCCAAGCTAGCTGGTTTAATAAAACTCTGTTTGATTTTTGCATCTCCATACTCATGCATTTGTTCCCCAGAAGAGACCCACTGAGTCATGGACCCTAACAACTGGACATCAAAGGTATGAAGTATAGCCAAGTGAAACAGTACTGCCTCTTAGATTTGAACCAAATAAAGCCTGTCCATAAAGTCTGTTACTTTCTAGCGGTCCCAACGCCTCTTGTACTATTCCTGGGCCCTTTACAAATCATGCCTCACTTACTCTTGTCAGGGACAGAAGGAGCACTTAGGTTTAACATTCACTGACTGGGCCTTTTCCAACTGTGTTAACATCCACAGGTTTGCATAAGATTAACAACTGTGGTCACCCGAAATCTTTTCAGCACCTGTCACTATGGAAATTACCTTAATTTATAGCTTGACCTCCCCATTCCTAACCCATACAAACCTTGGAGGGCTGAATCTTTGGTGACTGAGCAGTCCCTTCTCCAGCACTGATGACCTGCTTTTGAGGGGACACAGCTATCATGTGACTCCCTTTCACAGTCACATACTGAGGAAGTGATGACTGGCTGGCAGCTCCTGCTGTGGGCACATGAGGGGCTTCCCCAGGTTCTTGTTTGATGATCACCTTGCAACAAACAATGACACTGAATAAGCATCGTGTTGTGGGAGAGCAGGAAGACAGACCTATTACAAGTATTTGAAGCTAGTCTACGTGCAAAGACATTAATGAAACTTGGTTATTTTCAGAATGACTCCACAAAAAGAAAAGAGATATTGCTTTAATACAGTCCAAAACAGCGAATTAAGGGACCAAAACAGGGTCTCAGTTTGATCCTGTGCTTCTGTCCTTTGTTACAGAGATTGCTGGTAGGACGGCAGGGGAAAGAAACAATACATAGTCTGTAGTTTTGGAATTCCCCATCTTACTAGGCTCCAAGAAAGTGGACACTGTTAATAAATGGAAGCAGGTCTCAGAAAGAGGGCCCATTATAAGAGTTCTGTAAAACAACCATGCGGACTCCAGAGACAATGTCAGTATACACACTCACCTTTGTGAAAGCTCCAAGTCCTCCAGTTACAGGTTTGGGGCTTTGGACTTTTGGGTGACTCCCAATTGGGCAAAGAGGGGGCATGGATGCAAACAAAGAATCCTCCTGCTGTGTGCAAAAACATATACTGTACAATGGGTGTAGCAATATAAACAACTGAACGACAAAAGAACCAAAAGCCCAAACTCTTCTTGGTCTTCCAAGCTTCCATAACTTTACTGTAATTTTTAAAAATATTTACTTTCACATTTTATGTGTATGAGTGTATTGCTTGCATGTGTATAAGTGCACCTGTATTCTGCAATGCCTGCAGGTCAGAGGAGGGTGTCAGATTCTCCTAGAACTGGAGTTAGGGACGGTTTAGCTGCCACATGGGTGCTGGGAATTGAACCCATGTATTCTGCAAGAGCAGCCAGTGCTTGTAACAGCTGAGCCATTTCTCCAGCCCTGCAATTTTATTTTTTTAAACATATGAAAAGTGGGCATGTAATTCTAGCTGAATACCTATAAACCTGAGACAGGAGGATTGCTAGTTCATGGTCAGCCTGGGCTATGTAGTCAGATCCTGCTTCAAATAACAAAAACACAACAACCAAAAGCAAAGCACAGTTTTAACTCAGTAAAAGCTTGCTCATCTATGTCCCTGGTGCATACTAGGAAGACTCCTGTCTTAAATCTTTAATATTTGCTTGACTTTTTTTTTTTCTGAGACAGGGTCTCATGTAGCCCAGGCTGGTCTCACCATCTAGGTGAGGATGACCTTGAACTTCTGATCCTCCATTTCCTAAATGCTGAGATTATAAATGTGTACCACCACACCCAGTTTTATGTGGTGCTGGGGTTTTGTGCATGCTAGGCAAGTATTCTACCAAATAATTCACATTCCAGCCCTAACATTTAGTTGACTTTATTGGTTTGCATGTGAAGTCTCTTGGCAGATGGTCAAGGACAGGGACTGTATTTTCTTTATTTTATATTCCTAGAGCTAGGCACTAAATAAATGATTCTAACAAGCAATTGCAATGTTACAAAATATGTTTTCTTCTCATGTAAAATTTACTCCGTATCTAGAATAAAAGGAAAATGATTTTTTTCCCAAAAGAAAGAAAATAAAAAAAAGAAAACAAGGAGCTAAGTGTGGTGGCTTATGGGAAGCTGAGGCAGGATGACCATGAGTTCTAGGCTAGCCTGGGCTACATAGTAAGACCTTGCCTCAAAGAAAGTTTTTGGAATAAAAAAAAAAAAACAAACCACCAAACAACCAAAAGAATTTAAATAAACATGCAGAGAAAGTAATGTCAATTCGAAACTACTGCAGCTTGTGCCTACTATCAAAGACAACATGCAAATCTCAGAAGCAATTTGCCATAATTTGCTTAAAAAATTGAGGGTTTTTTTTGGTCTTTTTGAGACAGGGTCTCCCTGTAGTCCCAGATGTCCTGGAACTCACTTTGTAGACCAGGCTGGCCTTGAACTCACAAAGATCCACCTGCCTCTGCCTCCCTAGTGCTGGGATTAAAGGCACGCACCACCATGACTGGCTTATAAAAAAAAAAAAATTGAGTTATTTTTATGAGTGTTTTGCCTGTATGTACATAAAGTGCACCCACATGGTGCAGTTCCCACAGAGGCCAGAAGAAATGTGTCAGATCCCCTGGAACTTGAATTACAGACAGTTGTTAGCCACCATGTGGGTGCTGGAAACCCAACCTGGGTCCTCGGTAAGAGCAGCCAGTGCTCTTAACTGCTGAGCCATCTCTCCAGCCTACCATAAATAAAATTTAAGGGCAAGAAATAAAGATTGCTTCTTGACTATGTAATGAAAGATCACTAACAAATATTAAAAAGTAAATTTCAGAGGTAAGACCCTCAGGGAACTACTACAGGAAAACCTCATCAGGAATCTATTCAGATCACTGTTAACTATCTAAATAAGAGCAATGATGTGTTGTGCTTAGTAAGGTGAGAGAGATCTTTTGCAGTCTCAGAGTTATTCGGGTGGGAGTTTTCATCTTGAAGGCTTCCACATAAAGCAGTCATAGCACAAGGAAGTGTCTTTGCTAAATGGTGGGCAGGTCTGTAGCAGTGGGAGCTGAAGAAGTCAGATCATATTTAGAGTCCAAACTTTAAAATACCATCTGTTCTAAAGACAGGGTAAAAAACTTGTGGAATGGTAAGAATTATTTTCAAATAACTAAAAGGCTAAGGTATACAAACAAAACAAGATTTGTTCTTTGCTGGCACAATATAGGAAACATGAAACATGCTGTCAAACATTTTTATTTATTTATTTTAATTTAAAAAATATTTTATGTATTTGAGTGTACTACCTTCATGTATGTAAGTGCACCCATGCCCTGCAATGCCCACAGAGGTCAGAAGATGTCAGATCCCCTGGAACTGGAGTTATGGATGGTTGTTAGCTGCCATGTGGGTGCTGGGAAACAAATCCAGGTCCTCTGCAAGAGCAACCAGTGCTCTTAATTGTAAAGCTGTCTCTCCAGCCCCACAGGCAAACATTTTTATAAAGAAATGTATTTTAAAGATTTATTTTGCCAGGAATGGTGGCACATGCCTTTAATCCCAGCACTACTCAGGAGGTAGAGGCAGGTGGATCTCTGTGAGATTGAAGCTAGTCTGGTCCACACAGTGAGTTCTATGGGGGACTACAGGGACTCTTGTCTCAAAAAGAAAAAAAAAAATTGTTTTTATTTATGTGTATGTGTGTGCTGTATGTATGGGTAGGCATACACACATACATGCAGGTGCCCACAAAGGCCACAACAAGTGGGCATCAGATCCCCTGGAGCTAGAGTTATATGGAGCTGTGATCTGCCCAATAAGGGTGCTAGAAACTGAACCTGGGCCCTCTACAAAAGCAGTCAGCACTCTTAACCACTGAGTCATCTCTCTAGCCACTAAAGAAATATTTCTAATAAAAGTATGCTCTTCAAAAACAAATAAGGCCACCTCCTCCTCACACTGTTTTCAAATTGATAATAAAAGACTTGAGAAGTAGCTTCTATAATAGGAAGAAAACCAAAGTGAGGTAGTCCAGTCTGTAGGAAATGATTGGCAAGACTTTTTTCAGGGGGCTGGAGAGATGGCTCAGTGGTTAAGAGCACTGGCTGCACTTGCAGAGGACACAGGCTTGGTTCCCGGCATCCACATGGCAGCTAACAACCCTCCTTAAATCCAGTTTCAGGGGATCTGAACCCCTTTTCTGCTCTCTGAAGGCACCGTATGATATGGGTGCACTTACAGACCTACAAGCAAAACACTGATACACATAAAAAAAAATAATTTAAAATAATTTTAAAAAAAGATATTTTTCAATGCAAAGAAAATGGTATCATTAACTGATATTCTTGCTGAACTGTAATACTCTTGCACAAGGTGTAAAAATGCTGTAAGAGTTTACCTTGACTGTGGACGTTAAGAAACTACTTCCATGGATTTTAGGAACAGGGGACCCTGTTCCCTGGGAAACCTGAGAGGTCATAGGGAGCTTGTTTGTAGGACTTCCTAAGAAGCAAGACAGATTTAAAAATTACATAACAGAGTTTGCAAAGTGTAATTTAAAATCATTTCCCACCAATCATCCCTCTTTCCAACTACTTATTTTTTATTTTTAAGGGCTGAACATTCAAAACTCTAGCCAGGCATGGTGGTGTACACCTTTAATCCCAGCACTTGGGAGGCTGAGGTAGGTGGATCTTTGTTGAGTTCAAGGCTAGCCTGGTCTACATATCGAGTTCTAGGACAGCTGGAGCTACAGGGAGACCCTGTCTCAAAAAGACAAAAACAAAAAGCAACAAACAAAAATAAAAACAACAACAAAAAAGAAAATTAAGAACTCTAAAAGTATATTTAAAAACAAAACAAACAAACTAGAATCCATTCCAACAAAACTGACCACAGGACTAGCCTAAAACGAGCTAAGAAACGTGTGAAGTCAAAAGAAGAAAAGATATATATTATATACTCTCTATTCCTTATATGAGACATTATTTCATAATGCTAGTTACCAAATGGGCCAACATACATACATTCAAATGATCACCAGCTTCTGCAAAGCAGTTTCTTCTGAAGGCTAGACCTGCCTGCAAATACTGCCCATATTAGACATCTTATTGTGCTACATCTGCACATTGGCTTTCAAGGTCTGATAAAAATAACTTATGCTATCAATAGTAAATAGTAAGTCAAGATCTAAAATGGCATTCAGTAGCTTATTTCATTTACCAAACCTGCCCCTTTCACAGTTGTGGTTGCAAGACATCTGTCTGGTATACTCAAACATGTTCAAAGGCTACCAGGTAATCCCTGATAGCAGTAGAGTTCCACACATAAACCACTGCTAAATTGCTTATCTTAAAATCAAAACAAAACACCTAATTTGAAAAGCCCACAATATATAATAACATGTGTCAAATCTAATACGTGGGGTGGGGGTGTAGGGTGGAGAAACCACCCTCATTATCTTATAATCATCCATTTTATTTTATTTCTCTTTTCACTATTTCCCATAATACGAGAAGATTACACTTTTTTTTGGGTAGATATAGGTTAAATGAAGGAAATTAACACAATTTTGGTCAAAGAATACACACACACAAAACAAACAAACAAACAAACAAACAACAACAACAACAACACAACAACAACAAAGTCAGGGACAACAACAACAACAACAACAACAACAAAACAACAACAAAGTCAGAACCCAGACAGGCACCATGCAGCTGTATGGGATTACAGGAACAAATGTGATGGCTGCAAAGAATCCTTATTTTTATTAAAATTTTATTTTTATAATTGCAGGTTTTAATTTTCCTGCCACAAGCAAAATGTATTTTTCTTGCAGGAAAGTAAATCTTACATTGTTTGGAGGATATGTGTGGTTCAAAAAGCTATCACTGTAGTAAAAGCTGGACTTAGGAAAAAAAAAAGTAAATCAACTGCAAGCTAAGAAGAACAAGAATTTCATTTCTAAATGAAAAGATCAACTGTTTTTTAAAAGATAATTAACTATGGCCTCTAAATCCAAAAAATATAACTTTTACAAGGAGTGAATCTTCCTAACAGGAACAGTGTGATTGTTGCTTTCACACATTCTAAGGTATGGATGGAGATTTTACAATATTTGGATTGTCAAATACTGCTCAAATACACACCTGTACTGGGAGTGGAGGCGCCAATAACCTGCCCAGGCTTATCCACGATAACATAAGGATTGCTTATGACAGAGCCAGGAGTGCCTTGCTTCATGTGGAGGGGAGTGGAAGTTGGGGTTCGAGGCAATGGTGATGGACTTGGAGTTGATATTGGGGAACCTTTGTTAATTAAAAAAAGAAGAGAAACAAAATGCATCTAAAATTTATGTAAGAAGATGTCAAGGCAAAATGACAAGTTGGGAAGAAAGAACAGGACTGGTGTGCTTCTGGTGCTGAGCAGGAGCTGCTTTGGTGCAGCTGAGTCAGCAGGGCTGAAGGCAGTGCTGTCTCACTCTGCATTTTGATTCATGACCAGAATCAACATCTTGAAGAACAAATTAGAAACAGATTTTAAGGCAGGTTGTGGAGGTCCATACCTTTGATCCCAGCACTCAGGAGGCAGAGGCAGGTGGATCTCTAGGAGTTTGAGGCCAGCCTGGTCTACATAGTGAGTAGATCTGGCCAGTCAGTACTACAGTGAGACCCTACCTCAAAAAAACCAAATAAACAAACAAAACAAAAAACAGGGCTGGAGAGATGGTTCAGTGGTAAAGAGCACTTGATGTTCTTGCAGAAAACCTGGGTTCAGATCCCAGCCACCCCATGGTGGCTAACAACTATCTGAATTCCAGGGATCTGATGCCCTTTTCTGGCCTCCGTGGGCACCAAGCACACATGTGGTACATATAAATACATGCTGGCAAAACATTCACGTACATAAAATAAAATAAAAAAAAAATCTTTAAGAAAGAAGGAAAGATTCTGAGGTCCCACTTTTAACCCCTACTGAAAATAAACCTGTCCTCTTCTTTTGAGATAGGGTCTTCCTGTAGCCTTAGCTAGCCTGGAACTCAATGGAACTAAAAGCGTGTGCTACCATGCCCAGCTTAAACCTTTATTTTTAACAAGATGGCCTGATCAACACATTAAGACCTCCAAAGCAATGTTTTACATTATTAATAACGTGGAACTGTTGTAGCTTGGCAGGATAAATCTCTCACTACCACAGGTAAGTATTTGTAATACTAAGTATTTGAGACACTAAAATTAATGAGTCAAAGTGTAGATTAAGAATTTGGTGTTTTGATTTGAAATTAATTTTAGATAGGAAAATATGAAATTCACTTACCAAAGACAAGTCTTTCTTATTTTTCCTATTAAAATTTTATTTTTATAATTGCAGGTTTTAATTTTCCTGCCACAAGCAAAATGTATTTTTCTTGCAGGAAAGTAAATCTTACATTGTTTGGAGGATATGTGTGGTTCAAAAAGCTATCACTGTAGTAAAAGCTGGACTTAGGAAAAAAAAAAGTAAATCAACTGCAAGCTAAGAAGAACACACCATATCATAATCAGAATCCAGAAAGATTCCTGTTTCCAAAGAATATTCTCAGAGCTTATTCACATCCAATCAACTACTTTATCAATAAAAGGTCATATGTAAATTTCTCTAAACCTCAAATCAGCTGATATATTCAGTCTATTCCACTTCTGAAGCAGTGAATTCCAAAATTCTTACTGCCAGATAAAATGACAGGTTCTTCATGCTGTTAATTGCAAAGATTTGTATTATATTTCTGCTTAAGTTGTGCACATACAACAGTGAAGACTTCTGTTTCCCTCCTTCATTCAAGTATTGTACAGCTGGGTTCCCCTTGCTTAGATGTTTCCAACTGCCCTCTCCAGGTCTTTTCTGAAGTGATGCAAACAAAATCACAGAATAACTATTAAGAGGACGCACAATTTTATAGTGTGGGTGGAGAAAAAATAAAAGGTAATTCTGAACTCACTCCAAGCCTTAAAAGCTTAACTCTAAGAAAAGCCTTTTTTTTGCCCATTACTAGTTGCTTTCTTCTGGCCTCCAAGGGCACGGCATGACATGGGTACACATATGCATGCAGGCAAAACACTCATACATAAATTCTTAATAAAACCCCCTCTCATCCACTCATCTCACACCCCTCATCTCCAGTGCATGCCCACATACCTGAGACGATCTTACAGCTTACAGTGATGGGCTGAAAAGACTTTCCGGGTGACTCGGGATTGGGCGCCTGACTTTGGGGCACAATTTTGCAGCTTGAGGCTATTGGTTGGAAAGCAGAATTGCCATGTGAACAGAAGGTAACTTTCTGTGCTGTTGTCACTTTGGTGGGTGTTCTTTCCAACGAAGAAGGCAAAGAATAAAATGTGGTATGTCTTTCAGATTCAGTGTTGTCTGGGAATCCTGTTTGAAATTTAACAAATGATAAACCATCAATTAACCAATTATGGGAAGAGAACAAACTATTATATTACTCAATATTACTTCAAAACCCATTTAAAACAATGGCTGGTAGAAAAGAAATATAATTGATTACTCATTTATATTGTGGTAAGAAGTAAATGTTGTGCTTAGAATCCATCTGACTTAGGTAAAACATTTTAGGAATTTGATGGTTTATCTTAGTGATTTGGAATCACTAAGAGACACACCTCCGTACATGTCTTTGTTGGGATTTCGAGAGTGGTTTAACTGAGGACAGAAGACCTACTGTGAATGTGGGTGATATCATCTCAGGGTCTGGGTTACCAGACTGGATTAAGGGCAGAAAGTCAGCTAACCCCTTTCTCTGTTTCCTGTGGCACCATGGATCATGCTGCTCCCACTGTCACCCCTTCCCCACCATGATGGTCTATATTTCTTTAAACTATGAGCCAAAATAAACATTTCTTCCCTTAAGCTGCTTTTTGTTAGGTATTTGGTCCCAGTGACAAGAAAAGTAACTAATAAAGAAAATTAGTTACAGCAGAACTACATACCCGGAGTGAAGTCATTACTGTAATAAACCCAAACATGTGGGTCAGAGGCCTTTGGAACTGTTTGTGGAGGAATGTGAGTTTGGATGTGCAGGCTAGAGAAGCCCTAGAATGCTGTAAGCAGAGTTTAATGGCACATTCTTGTGGAAGTGTGGAAGAACAGAATGCTGCTAGGCATAAAGACTTATTCACAAGGTTTCAGAGGGCAACAAGGACTCTATTGGGAATGGGATAAGAAGCTTTTCATGTTACACTTCAACAAACATACCCAACACACACCCCAACCAAAATCAACACCAACACCACCACCCTAGCTGCTTTCTGTCCCTGAACTGATAATCTGAGTGAGGCTGAATTTAAAAGCAATAAACAAAGTTATTTGGTGGAGGAACTTTTTTAAGACAGCATAATATTCAGGCAATCCCAAAAAGATAGGAAAAAAGTACAGTTTGGTGAGGAAAGAGGTGTGAGCTCAGTTAAAGGTATAGTCAGGGCAAACAAAACAGGCACAATTGAGGTATCTGCAATTATTAAGGAGGCTGATGTCACTGAGGAGCAATCTCACACTGCACTGGAGTGAAAGAATGGTGCCTTCAGTTCACGACTCCACCCATGAAGAACTCTAGGAAGCAAAGAGAACTGAAAAACTTTCATTTGAAAAGGCACTAACTGCCTGACTTGGTTGCCCACAACTTTAGTCCCAGCACTTGGGAGGCAGAGGCAGGTGATCTAGGCCAGCCTGATCTCCATAGGGAGTACCAGGCTACAGGAGGCAGACAGACAGACAGACAGACAGACAGACAGACAGACACACACACACACAGTGCTGATTTTGCAAGTATACAAAATGCAAGAGGTATAGGGTCCAAGAGGTTTGCACCAACATTCCAGAAAAGCTACTGAGACCAGGCAAAGAGCAGCAGGGTTGGATTCCCTGCATGGAGTCCCTGAATGTCTAAGCATGAAACTGAAGGCAAAACTTAACTTGCAATGGAGACCCCAGGATTTGAGACTCTAGGACAGTAGATGTCCACTGAGGAAAATTGTAGGCACAGAATGAAGCCAGCCCAAGCCAGAAGTTCCTTGTGCTGCAGGTGGCAGAAGAGGAAGGGGAAGGCTACCCAAGGTTGTTAAGAGACCAGATGATAGACAGAGCTGCAGGATTTGATATTTGCCTTGGCTTGCATTGCTTTAATCTTTCCTTGCTATGCCTTTATTTTCCCCATTTGAAATGGAATGCTTACTCTGTGCCACCGTATACTGAAGTACATAACTTGTTTTATTATAAAGAAGCTCGCTGTTAAGAGTGCCTTGAGTCTTAGAAGAGGGCTTGAACTTGGGCTTTTAAACAATGTTAGAACTATTAAGGTTTTGGAGACTTATGGGACTGGAGAGATGACTGCTCTTGTACAGACTCGAGTTTGGTTCCCAGCATCCATGTCTAGTAGCTTATAACCTACTGTAATGCCAACTCCAGGGTATGTGACACCCTCTTCTGGCCTCAGAAGGCACTTACACACACACAGCATACACATACATAAAAATAGCCCTTAAAAAATATTTTGGGGACTTTCATTTGTATTGAGATGACCATGAATCTTTGAGTACCAAGGTAGAAGGCTACAGTTTAAAAATGATGTGTTCAGGGGCTGGAGGGATGTCTCAGTGGTTAAGGCTGTTCTTGCAGAAGATCTGGGTTTGAATCCTAGCACCCACATGGCAGCCAACCACTGTCCATAAGTCCAGTTCCAGGGGATCAAACAGCTTCTTCTGTCCTCTGCGGGTATTGCATAACATGGGTGCACTTACCTACAAGCAGGCAATACATGCATACACATAAAATAAAAATAATAAATAAAATATTTTAAAAAATTGGGGGACTTTCATTTGCATTGAGATGACCATGAATCTTTAAGTACCAAGGTAGAAGTCTACAGTTTAAAAATGATGTGTTTAGGGGCTGGAAAGATGGCTCAGTGGTTAAGAGCACAGGCTGCTCTTGTAGAGGACCCGGGTTTGATTCCGAGCACCCACATGGCAGCTAAAAACTACCTTTCACTCCAGTTCCAGGGGATCTGATACCCTCTTCTGGCCTCTGAGAGGCATGGCATGGCATGGATGCACTTACATACATGCAGGCAAAAACACTCATACACAAGGGGTGGACTTGTGATGGTTAATTTTCACTGTCAACGTGATTAGATTTGGAATTAGAAGTACCCCTGGTTGCTGGGCGTGGTGGCGGATGCCTTTAATCCCAGCGCTTGGGAGGCAGAGGCAGATGGATCTCTGTGAGTTTGAGGCCAGCCTGGTCTATAGATCAAGTTCCAGGCCAGTTGGGACTACAGGGAGACCTTGCCACAAAAAGACAAAAAAAAAAAAAAAAAAATTACCACCTCTGGGTATGTTGCTGACAGAATTTTCAGACGTGTGTGTGTGTGTGTGTGTGTGTGTGTGTGTGTGTGTGTACATGCATCTGAAGGCCAAAGGTTGGTATGAGGTGTTTTCTTCTATTGCTCCCCACTTTTTATTTATTTTATTTAGTTTTTTGTTGGGGGGTGGGGAGACAGGTTCTCATTGTGAAGTTGTAGCTGGCCTGGAACTCTGGAACTCACAGGATTAAAGGTGTGCACCATCAGGTCCAGCCCCACCTTATTTTTGGAGTGTTTCTCAGTGAACCTGAATCTCACAGAACAGGCTAGATTGGCTGGCCACTGAGCTCTAAGAATCTGCTGATCTCTGATCCCCAGAGCTGAGGTTACAGATGCATGCTGCTGTACCTAGCTTTTACATTGGTACTGGGAATCTGAATTCAGGTCCTTATGCTTGTGTGGCAAGCACCTTATCCACCGGCCATATTCCAAACCCACTTTTGAGAGGTTCAATCAAGTGGAGATGGTGTGCTCCAAATGCTAGGTGCACTATCACATGGCCTGGGGTAAGTACTGAATAAAAAAGGGAGAGGGAGAAAGCCCTGGACAAATCCCTTTTGAGCTTCCTGGCTGGCACCACTGACCATGCTGACTCCATCCCTACACTTTCCTTGCCATGATGGACTGCACTTCTTTGAAGTGCAGGGGAAAATAAACCATTTCCCCTAAGATGCTTTTTGTCAGGTATTTGGTCACAGCAACATGGAAAATAATTCAAGTAATTAGAAAATATTAAAGTTCCTACAAGCAGAAGTTTGGTATTATATTTAAATGAGAAAAAAAGGTATCTGAGAATGACTCCATAAAAGGGAGAACACTGACCTTTCCCCACAGAGGCATCGGACAGAGGCTCGAGGGACTGTGCTATTGGTGAAGAAGCCTTCTCTGGGGCTGGAACAGTCAATGATGCAGGAGCATCAGAGATGTCTGACTCAGGATAAATGTAGTCTTCTCCAAGAGAATGCCGATGAAGTTCAACATCCACTACCTATACAAGTGGGCAACAATGTTACAGAAAGCTCAAATCTGGTCTAGAAAATGGGACTCTAAGAGATGGAACAAATAACTTCTAGTCACATCTCAAAGGCAATTTCTACCTCAAGAACCAAAAGATGTTCTTAGGATGTAATCATTTTGACTTCACACCCGGATGCCTCAGTGAAACGTCTCACAGTTATTATTTCTACTCCTTTGAACATTCTTCCTCTGCAGCTGCCTTTCTTCACCTGTCACAAATGCCACTTTCTCAAAAAGACCCTCCCTATACACCTAGCTTATGTACATCCCCTGCCCATCAGCTACTCTCTTCTTCATGGCATTTGTTTGTAGTTGAAATGATCTTATTTGCTTCTGTGTTTACTACTTACTATCCTTATTCTCAAAACCACCAAAACTAAGTCCTTGAGGATGAAAGCTATCTTACCCATCTGTGCTGGATAACTTTAGTGTCAACTTGACACACCTGGGTTGAGGAGCCTCAAGTGGGGAACTTCCTCCATTGAACTGGCCTGTGACCATGTCTGTGAGGCATCTTCTTGATCGTTGTGTGATGTGCGAGGGCCTAGCCCACTGTGAGTTGTGCCACCCCTGGTCAGGTGGGCCTGTGTTGCATAAGAAAGCAGGCTGAGCAGGGGCCAGGGGAGCAAGCCAGTAAGCAGCATTCCTCCATGGCATGGCCTGTGCTCCAGTTTCCTGCCTTGAGTTTACTACTTTGGGCTTCCTGATGAACTGTGATCCGGGAGATGTAAGCTGAATAATCTTTTCCCTCCCAAAGTTGGTATTGGTCAGAGTGTTTTGTCACAGCAATGGAGGACAAACTAGAACACCATCTCTTTACTCCTAACACCTGGTCCACTGTAAGCATACAGAAGGTACTTAATATCTTATAGCACAGTCCATTTCTCTAGACACTGATGAGATTTAGCTAGCCGATTATAATGGTGACTACATATATAGATCGTAAACACAGAAACAAAAGGGTAGAGAATGAAAATGGAGGCCTTACACTTCCTGATTTCAAAATTTATTACAAAGCTATAATTATCAAATAGAATGCACTAGAATAAAGACAGACAGATAGAACAATGGAATAGAATAAGCCCTCAAATGCAGGATCAAATGATCTTCAAGAAGTATCAGCCAGTAAGTAATGAAAAATGCTGGACTTTTAACAAAGTTAACCAAAGACTTACACATAAGAGCTCAAACTGGTCTGATGAGTGGGTAAAGGCACTGGCTACCAAGTCTGACAACCTGAATTCCAACCCCAGAACCCACATAATGGGAGGAGAGAACCAACTCCAAGGTGGTGTCTGAACTCTACAATGTACTCACACTATGATAAAGCAATAAAGCAGAGGTTTGCAGAGGTTCAATTCCCAGCACCCACATGGCAGTTAACAACCAAACACTAGTTCCAGGGGATCCAACACCTTCTGACCTCCATGGGCACTAAATGACATGGGTGCACGTACATATGTTCATACACACAAAATTAAGAAAAAAGAAACAACCATGAGATATCACTTTACAACTATAACAGCATCTATGCACAACTTAAAATACAGAAAAATAATAAGTGTTGATGAAGATGTGGACAATCTATACACCATACTATGGAGGGAATATAAAGCAGTACAGCTGCTATGGGAAATGCTATGACAGTCACTCAAAATGTTTAAAATAGCATTACCATAAGACACGTAATTTCACTTCTGGGTATATACCTAATTGAACTGACAAAAAGATTCAAATGCTATCTGTAGACCCACAGCCAGAGCAGTATTATTTACAACAGCCAAAAACCAGAAGCAACCCAAGTTTCCATGAATCCATGAAAGATAAGCAACATGTGGCACATACATACAGAGTACTACTGAGTATTAAAATGGAAGGACTGGAGGCTAGAGAGATGGTTAGGTGGTTAAGAGCACTGGCTACTCTTGCAGAGGACCTAGGTTCAGTTTCCAGCACTCACATGGAGGTTCGTAACTATCCGTAACTCCAGTTCTAAGGATCTGGTGCCCTTTTCTGGCCTTTGTGGGCACCTGCACACACATGGTGCATAGATATATGCAGGTAAAACACTAATACACACACATAAAAAAATAAATAAATCTTTAGGGGCTAGAGATGACTCAGATGTTAAGCGTACTGGCTGTTCTTGCAAAGGACCTGGCTTTGGTTCCTAGCACCCATATGGCAGCTAACAACTATCCAAGAACTCCAGTTCCGTAACTATCCGTAACTCCAGTTCTAAGGATCTGGTGCCCTTTTCTGGCCTTCGTGGGCACCTGCACACACACATGGTACATAGATATATACAGGCAAAACACTAATACACATATAAAAAAATCTTTAGGGGCTAGAGATGACTCAGATGTTACGCGTACTGGCTGCTCTTTCAAAGGACCTGGCTTTGGTTCCTAGTACCTATATGGCAGCTAACAACTATCCAAGAACTCCAGTTTAGGGGATATGACACCCTCTTCTGGATGGACGCCATGGGTACTGCATGCATGTGGTGCATGTACATATATGTAGGCAAAACACACATGTTAAGGAGGCAGAGGCAGAGAGATTTCTGTGAATTCCAGGCCAGCTTGGTCAACATAGCGCGCAGCTGGAGCTACAAGGAAACCCTGTCTCAAAAAAGACCAAAAAAAGGGGCTGGAGAGATGGCTCAGTGGTTAAGAGCATCAGTTGCTCTTGCAGAGGACCCAGGTTCGATTCCCAGCACCCACATGGTGGCTACGTCCTTAACTCCAGTTCCAGGGGAATCCGAAGCCCTCTTCTGACCTCTGAGGCATTGCACGACACGGGTGCACTCACACACATGCAGGCAATGCACTCATACACATAAAATAAAAATAATAAATAATTTTAAAAAAGATCCCTTTACAAAAGAAAGGAAATTCTATCATATCCTACAGCATGGATGAACCCTAAGGATTCTATGTTAGCTGCAATAAAGCAATTGTAAAAGTCAAACACTGTATGATTCCAATTTATGTGACAGACCTTGAGTAGGCAGGTTCTGTCCCTATGAACTGGTGGGGTAACTATTCCTTAATAGGTACGGACTTGTTCGATGAGAAAAGCTCAAGAGATGGCTGGCAACAATGTGAATACGCTGCATGCCACTGAGCATGCTGAAAATAGTTCAGACCACAAAAACTTCGTCACATCTATTTTTATGTGCATGAGTGTTTTTGCCTGCTTCTAAATGTATCCATTCATGAAATGCCTGAGAGGACAGAAGAGGCATTGGATCCCCTGGAACTGGAGTTACAGATGGTTGTCAGCTGCCATGTGGGCGCTGGGAACTGAACTCAGGTCCTTTCAGAGAGTAGCCAGTGCTCTTAACCACTGAGTCATCTCTCCAGTCCCTATGTCATATCTTTAAACCACAATTAAAAGAAAAAAAGAAAAGAAACATAAAGGGTAGGATGGTGGGGGGAAAATCAACTTTTAAAAGACCAACACTCATTTTTTTTCCTAAATAAAAAGAAAGATCAGTTGGGCATGAAAGGAAAGAAGACAGGGAGAGAGAGAAGAGGAAGGGAAGAGAGAGAGAAAGAAAGCAGTGTATCAATTTTTAGTCTACCCTTTCCCATATACTATTGATGGAAAATACCTACCGTCTCTGCACCCAGCGTCTGCAAACCAGTGTAAGTTCTATCCAGCTATGCAAAGACAAAAGGGAAATGTTAGATTTTACACTGTTCATTTATCAGGTTTTAAGCTTATTTAAAACCCTTCCAACTCAGACTTTCCTACTAGAAGATCTACTCATAATATAAACTACCAACTGATGCCTCAACAAAAATCCTCAATTTTCTGGGGAGGGAAATTTGAATAGTCGCCCCCCCCCCCAATCACAGATACTTATAATTTATACACTTTAAAAAGTCTAAACGCCTGTAGTCCCAGCACTTGGGAGGCAGAGGCAGGCGGATCTCTGTGAGTTCAAGGCCAACCTGGTCTACATAGTGAGTTCCAGGACAGCTGGGGCTACAGGGTATTGGAACTGGAGTTTACTGGGAAAAGAAAATTGATATTTGTCAGGTAGAAATATGAATGTGAGAAGTATAGCCAGGCATGGTGGCTCAGGCCTTTAAGCTCAGCACTCAGGAGGCAGAGTCTGTGAGATTCAGGTCAGCCTGGTCTATATAGTGAGTCCCAGGCCCACTGGGGCTACAGGAAGACCCTGTCGAAAAGATTTTTTTAAAAAGTGGGCTGGAGAGATGTCTCAGCGGTTAAGAGCACTGACTGCTCTTGCAGAGGACCTGGGTTCGATTCCCAGCACCCACAAGGCAGTTATGAACCTTCCTTAACTCCAGTTCCAGGGGAATCCGAAGCCCTCTTCTGACCTCCGCGGCACTGCACCACACGGATCCACAGCACTGCACGACACGGGTGCACTCACATACATGCAGGGCAATACACTCATACACATAAAATAAAAATAATAAATAAAGTATTAAAAAAAAGTCTTTTGCAATGCTGATATATTTGAATTAGTGTTACCCGTTGGTTGGGATGATTAAAGGTATGCACCACCACACCCAGGTTCAAAAAGACTTATTTTTAAGGAATGATATGTCACTAACAAGAGTTTGGAATTACACTGAAAGAGAATAAATTCTTAACTCTTACATTTCAGTTTATACTCCACAATTTAAAAAAAGTGCTGATACCTTATCTACATAAACAGGGTACATTAAGACTAAAAAGAAAACCACGATGAAGGTAGGCAAAGGGGAAAGGTGAAGCCAGGGGTAGATTAGTAAATACAGGTTTTAAAGGGACAAGGCTGTACAGGTTGTTCAGCAGTCAATAGGGGGAAGGGAATTCAGTCAGTCCTGTAAGCACTCAGAAGATAAGAAACATCTGTATGAGTAATGGTGTGAAAAGTCTTGGATTTAGGTTCAAGGGGACAATGAGATGAGTTGTTGGGGGTAAGAAGTTTATTAGAATTAATAATGCCATGGACAGATAGACAGCAGAGTTGTGGGGGTTTTAAGGAAGAATTCAGGCCCCAGTACCAGAGACAGACAGCATGATGAGGTGTCTGAAGAAAATCAGCCCAGGGACAGAAGTGGGAGCCTCTTTTATGCCTTTGGAGGAGAGGGGAGGTTCACAGCAAGAACCTGTAGTCAGGCTCTCTGATTCCCAGGCAGAAGGCAGAGAAGGAAGTGAGGAGCAGGATGTGTGGCCACCAATTACCCCCTTGGATGTAAACTCACTCCCCCAGGTTAGAGATCTTGACACCTTGAAGTCCAGGTGAAGCTAGAGATTCAGACAGTATCTCAGTAGGTGCTTGTGGATATCTGTGAGAGTGGAAGGGCTGCTGCAGGGGCTGTGGCCTGAACAGCAAGACTGTTGCTTACAGTCCACACTCCAGCTTTTTGTTTATATATAAAAATAAAAGGAGCGGAATGATTTTACAGGACAGGGTGTTAGAGGAGGAAACCCAAGGGTAATAGATAGTGACCCATCCAACTTCTGAGCTGGAATTGGACATCATGGGATTTGGGAGGGACCTCCTCATCTAGAGTGAGTTGTCAGGGCTGGTGTCTGGGGCAGAGGTTGGCATCTGCATTTGAGCATCAGGAGGATGTTACTCCGAGTGTCACACTGAGCAGTGTTCTGGATGACTGGATCAACGTGGAGACCAAAGAGGGGCTACCTATGGATATAAGAGTCAAAGGAGTTATTAAAGGGATAATCACAAGTGTAAGTCAGGCGTCCATGAAGAGTTCTGAAATCATTTTGAGTTGGAATTATTGAGAAAAGGGGTGGAGGGTAAGTGGAAGAGTTAGCGATGGAGCAGGCAGCAGAGGAAGGAGTGCCCACACGATTTGAATTTTTCATTTTAGAAGAGGCTGTGGGAAGGCAGAGAGTAGAGACAGGTTTTAATAGGGTTGTTATAAAGCTCCTTCAAGTTAATCCCATTAAATAGTTTTTGAGTTTTGGTCACAGAATGTTGTGTCACATACAGAGGAAGGTAACAGATCAGCTATTAAAAAGTCTATGGTAATTCCAAGGAAGAGATCTGGAGTTTTAATATTGAAACTAGGAAAGAGTATAATTGCTAAAAAGACATTTATTTCTCTATCCTCTAGAACACAGAAATCTTAAGTCTCTATAATCTGTATTGTTAGGTTTAAGCTAGGGACTAATGAAGCCACATTTACAGGCAGTTTCATAGCCACTGACAATCACCCTACTAAGAGGAGGTCTGTGGATTTGTACCAGGCTCCCCAGTAGGGGGACTCCAGGAAAGAAATGCTTAATTCCAGACCAAGTTTAGGCTCATCTGTGGCCTTTGCAATCTCTGGTCCTTAAAGTTGTCTCTGGGATCAGGCTACTACAGGGAGAGATTGTAAACCAACTCCCTAAATTATCCATACTGTCAAGACAAGGGAGCTTCTACACCTCAAGCTACCAGACTCAGAGGTATACCAGGGCCTAATGAAAACACCTTCGCTAAATGTGCTCCTCCTCCACACCCCTGAAGTCACACATTAACAACACTCCTTCCTCACATTGCAAGCTTACCCTATCCTTCTCCCCAAGGTCTAATACACTTGTTTGCTCTTCTGGGCATCTGAAATCCTTTCTTTTCACTTGGACCCTGCCATACTTTCTCTGGCTTTAAATAAATCTTGTGGCCTCCAGAAAGAATCTGCCTCAGTGTTCTCTATCAAATTCGAGATCTTATATATCAGCATGTTTTAGTCTTAGGACCAAATTTTAGAACATTAATAGAACAGAACTATTGCCAAAATAAAGAGAAAAATAAAAAGTAAAAACATG